ACAATTTCAACACAAAAAACAATTCAGAACTTTTAGCTAATATGGTCATGACAATGAATTCTCTGTGTTCCTTTCAGCTTTGTTTATTCATTGCTATATTGTGTGAACATTTTTTTTCCTAGAATTTGAATTGGAAGGAAATTTAGAGGCCATGTAGTCTAGGAACACCCCAATATTAGCAAGCATTGTGATACAGTGGAAAGACCATTGGTACTGGAGTCAGAACACTTGAGTTCAAATTTCAGCTCTGATATCTGCCTGAATGATCTTGGGACAAATCAGGTAACCTCCCCGAGTTTCATTTTCTTTATCTTTAAAAATGAGGTGATTGCATTAGATGGCTTCTATCATCCTGTCATCCATAACCAAAAATTGGCTGTCTGGTCTTTGCTTGAAGACTTCAAGTTAGGATCAGCCACCTGCTATTCCGTTAGCCTATACTACTTTTGGTTAACTAACTGTTAGGAACATTTTTCCCTATGTTTTGATGAAGTTTGGTTCTATGCAGCTTTTTTCACTGCTAACATTCTACCCTCTGGAGCCAAACAGGATAAGTCTCATCCTTCCTCCACATGAATCAGATCTTTACGATAGTTATTGTTTCCATTTTCTGGCCTAATCATCCCCATTTCCTTCAGCTAATCTTTATGTGGCATGGTCTGTAGTGCCCCTTATCATCTTAGTTGTTGACTCTTTCTGGATACTACCCAGCTTGTGAGTGCTCTTCCTAAAATGTGGTACCTAGGATGGAGCATGATACTCCAGATGTGTTCTGACTGGGGCAGAATATAACTCCTTCATCTCATATACTGTACTTTTACGAAAAACAATAACAGACAAGTTGGCATTATATTATTATTATTTTATGTTATGTTATGTTAAACTGTTGATGCATACTGAAGTTATGATCCACTAAACCCCACCATCCAGATCTTTTTTTTTTTAAGACAAACTGTTATCTGACTAGAATTTTCCTATCTTGTACTTTTAAAATTGATTTTTTTTTGGGGGGGGTTAGGCAGTTGGGGTTAAGTGACTTGCCCAGGGTCACACAGCTAGTAAGTGTCAAGTGTTTGGTCTGATGCCAAATTTGAACTCAGGTCCTCCTGACTTCAGGGCTGAGACTCATGTCTTAGATGCAGCTTATTATTTTGCTATCTAAACCTACTTTTCTTACAACCTCCCCTTTTCCCATTGAGAACGTGACCTTCTTTGAATTTGTCCAGTTTTGCAACTTAGATGTCATGCTTGACCCTTTGATCTCCCCCATATCTACCTAGTTGTCATATCTTATTGATTCTACCTCCACAAATGTCTCTTACATCTAACCCCTTCACTCTTGTAAGTTATTACTTTTAACTACTACTACACCATAAAGAAGTGCTTATGTTTTTTCTGTGCTAGGATTCTGCATGTGAAATGCTAATTCAGATTCCAGAGGGAAAAGGGAATAAATTTCTATAAAAATACTAATAAGAGGGAAAGGCTTTTTTTTTAAAAAAAGCATAATTTCAGATTGCTTTCCAGAATGGTTTGACCAATTCACATTTCCAACAACACCTCACATCTTTTAGCCCCTCCAACACAGGCTGTTTCAATCTTTTGTCATATTTTTCGTTTTATTGGGTGTGAGGTGAAATCTCATAGCTGTTTTGATTTTGTTTTGGAATAGTCTTTGATGTGGTTGTTAAGAGTTAATAGATAACTTTCTCATCACTTTCTCAGCTTCTAATTTTCTCTCCTTTCCAATCTGCCCTCTGAACAGCTACTGAAATTAGCATTCCTTAGTAACATCTGATCATGGACATTTCCTTGATTAAAAGCTTCCAGTGGTTCCCTCTTACCTCTAGGATTAAAATGCTAATATCTCATTCAGCCTGGTTTTTAGAGACCTTAATTTAGGGTCACTTACTACAAGAATTGGAATGAGGCCATCCATTTGAGGAATTAAAAAGCAGATGATCAGTTTCTTCAACATATTTCATTTTCTTTATTTGGTGCCAAAGGCTTCCCTTCCCCTTCATTTGGTGTCTAAAGAGTGATTACATGGTAAAAGGGGGGGGAGGGGAAGGAAATACATGCATAAGACCAAGGGGAATATTGTAGGATATTCTTTACAGATGAGACTAGAACTCTATAAGCCTCTAAATCTGTGTCCAGATTAGGGTGGTTTAGCAGCTATAAAAATAGCCTCCCCTTTTTGCATAGGAAAAGCATTTTCCCTCACATGTTAGGATGCATCTTCCTTTTCAAGGGTTCTGGATGGTGCTTGGTGCTTGATAGGAAAGTGTTACTTGCTGTCTCTGCTTTCAATTTTATGTCTTAGGATCTTTGAACTCAGTAAATTGTTTGAAGGGAATGAGAGTATCAGACTGGAATGTACCTGATTTATTCAAGGATAGCTAACAAAAGGCTTACTAGTATGCCAGATGCTGTGGGAGCATCTGGGACCAATTGTATACTTTATGACAGTATTATGGAACGAGAATGGGGGGGGAGGGAGAGGAATGGACTTTCTTGGCTATTTTGAGAAGTGAAAGCAAAAAGTAAGAGACATAAAGAATACATGCCAATTATCTGCAAGAGCCTGGAGAATGGCCTTGGTTTACTGTCTCCAAAGAGGGATCAAAGACCTTATAGAAGTGCTTATGTTTTTTTTTTCTGCCCTAAGATTCTACATGTGAAATGCTAATTTAGATTCCAGAGGGAAGAGGGAATAAACTTCCAATAGTCAAAATCCTAACAAGAGGGAAAGGATTTTTTTAAAAATTGCTTTCTAGAATGGTTGGGACAATTCACATTTTTGCCAACACCTCTCATTTTTTGGTAGCTCCTCCAGCATGGATTGTTTCTGGTTTTTTGTTATCTTTTTCATTTTGTTGGGTGTTAGCTGAAATCTCAGAACTATTTTGATTTTGTTTTTTGATTGATTTGTAAGTCCTTAATATGGTTAATAGTTCGCAATTCTTTTTATAGCTTACTCATGTTGTTTGACCACCTGTTCATTGGAGGAATATCTCTAGGCATTTATTCATTTGTGTTAATTATTGTTTATTAATCTCTTATCAGAGATATTTGATACAAAGATTTTCCTTGATTTCCCTTCTCATCCTAGTTGCATTGATTTTGTTTGTGCAAAAAATTTCAATTTCATGTAATCAGAATCATCTGTTTTCTTTTGTAATCACTATTTTCATCTTGTTTGATCAAGAACTACACCACCAATCATAGCTATGAAAGCTATGTAATCATATTATATTCTAATTTTTAAAATGATGTGACCTTTAGTGTTCAGGTTCTATATCCATTACAGATTATTATATATAGTGTAAAATATTGGTCTAAACCTAATCTCTACCAAAACTGTTCCTTAATCTATCTTATCTAGTCTGTTTTATTGGTTTACATTTCTTTCCTTTTTAAACCATTGCTGGTGGAGGCACAAAAATGAAAATAGTACCTGTATTGTAGGGGTTTACTTTGTAGTAAGGGTGATAAGATATACACAGATAAATGCAGTTCAGAATATGATGTGTGCCTGACAGGTACAAAATGCTCTGATAAATTCAGGAGAAGCATTGCTTCCACTTGGTGAATCAAAGAAAGGCTTCATAGAGTAGGTATTATTTTGGCTAGGCCTTGAAGGACAATTTATCTGGTTAGGTACAGTGTAGAGTATGAGTGGGAGAAGTATTTATTAAGCACATATTAGGTGCCAAGCAGTGAGAGTTGGATTATAAGGAAAGTTGAGCACTGCAGAATTGATGCTTTTGAACTGTGGTTCTGGAAAAGACTTTTGAGAGTCCCTTGGAGAACAAAGAGATCAAATCAGCCAGTATGTAAAGAAATTAATTCAGACTATTCACAAGAAGGTCAAATACTAAAGCTGAAGCCTAGCTACTTTGGCCACACAGTGAGAAGACAGGATTCCTTGAAAAAGACCTTGACGTTGGGAAAGATTGATGGCAAAAGGGAAGGGGGATGGCAGAGGATGAGATGGATAGATAGTGTTATGGAAATAACAAACATGAGCTTGGACAGACTTTGGGAGATAGGGGAGGACAATCGGGCGTGGCGTGCTGTGGTTCATGAGGTCATGAAGGGTCACACAGGACTGAACAACAGCACTAGGTGCCAGGCACTGAATCTAATGGATATGTAGCTGTATACAGGATAAGTAGGAAGTAATTAAGAGAGGGAAGGCACTAGAATTAACAGGAGGTTGGGAAAGACTTCCTGTAAAAGATGAGGTTGTAGTTGGAACTTGAAGAAAGGTCAGGGAAGCCAGTAGTCTGAGATGAAGAGGGAGAGCATTCCAGCCATTGAGGACAGCCAGAGAAATGCCTGGAGTTTCTAAATGGATTTTTGTTCATTAAGTAGTAAGAGGCCAGTGTCACTGGACTGAATAGTATGTAGTGAGGAATAAAGTGTAAGAAGACTGGAAAGGTGTAGGTGGGGGTGGGGCAGGTTGAAAGGGTTAGGTTGTGAAAGGCTTTTAACACCAAGTGAAGGGTTTTGTATTTGATCCTGGAGAAGATAGGAAGCTAGTAGAGTAGAGGAATAGAGCCAGTTTTTTTTTTTAGGCATTTGGGATTTAGTGACTTGCCCAGGGTCACATAGCTAGTGTCAGGTGTTTAGTCTGGTGCTGGATTTGAACTCAGGTCCTCCTGACTTCAGGGCCTGTGCACTATCCACTGTGCCACCTAGCTGCCCCTAGAGCCAGTTATTGAGTAGAGGTTATTAATATGGCTGGATCTTCACTTAGAGAAGATCACTAGAAAGGTATACATGAGATTTCTTTTGTAATTCTTTGAGTTTTGTATGATAGGAAATATATTAATGGACCCTTTGCTACATTTCCATAACAAAGGAAAATTTTTCTCTTTGCTGTTACTTATTGTGTTTGCTAAAAGTTTAAAAAGATGTGTTATGTTACTGATCTTTGAGATTCTTCAAAACCTCAACATTTTCCTATATTTTTCTTTTCTTTACATTTTTAGGCTGAGTGGATCATCAGGTTTTGTAACCGATGGACCTGGAAATTACAAATACAAAACAAAATGTACATGGCTCATTGAAGGACAGTGAGTAACAATTGTTTTATTTTTTTTGTGATAAACTTCAACTTAAGATTCAATACTTTCTGCCAAAGACATATCTGAGTAAAATGCTACTGATTGATTGCTTGTATCTGTTTACTGTAGTTGTAGACTGCTCTTGCCATAACTTCAATTAAAAATAGATTTTAAAAGGTTTGCTTTGGACTACTGAGTTTGTTTCCCCCCCCCCCAAATTCCTAATAGGAAGACAAAAAAGCCATTAAATTGGTTTATAATGTGAATTTTTAAAAATTAATGACCAAAGTGTTGATTTAATTTTAAGAATGATTGGTCTTTAATATGATCTGATATTTTTTGCTAATGTCCATTACATTTTCATGAACTGCTAAAGTGGATATATTTTTATTAGGGCTTAGAAGATATTATAGGAAAGATTTTATTTGTCTAAATGCAATTTTTATCACAGATAAAAATTTCAGAAGAAATTTTGATCATTAGATGAACACCAGTGAAATGATGAGAATTCTGATATGAATATATCGTGTATGTGTATACATGCACACATATATGCACATATGTATATATCCATACATATGCATATATACATATATATTTTTTTAATTTGGGGAGAGAAATTGAATTAATTTTATTTCAGAAAGTGAAGTTGAAAAAGGCATTATAATTTTTAAGAAGGGTACTTTCAATTTGTAGAGCCTATAAATGCTACTTATTTAATGTTTGCTTATGTCAAAGCATCCTTTTGTGTTTGCTACATTAGGGAATATAGAATTGCCAAGTATTAAAAGGAGAATTATCATCTATGGTATATTGTAAAGCACTGTTTTTTAAAATGAAATAGACTCTGAAGGAAAAGAATGAAGAAAAAGCAGATTTGAGCTTTTCTTTTTTAAAAAAAATTTAAAATACAGTTCTATCTAGATTAAATGTTAATTGCTTTATGGCATTTTCTTCTCCTTTGTAAATTTTCTCTTACCATCCAAGGAATTAAGAAGGATGTGAAAGTTAAAGATTAATTACTAATGTTGTCTATGTGATTGTTTAACAAGCTGATTAAATGTTCTTAAAGTTTTATAAAATATCATTTTTCCAGTTTAAGGCAATAAATGAATTTATCTCTATCAGTGGTTAATTTCAGTACAGTTGTATTTTGATTCACTTATTTGAATTTTGCCCCATAAATTTGTTCCTAAGTGGACAAGTTTCTAAAAGTGACAGCACAGCAGAAAATAGAGTGCAAGAAAGATAGGCCTTACTAGAAGGATCACAAACTAGAAGGATAGGCCTCATTGTTAAGTATTTTGTCTGGCTGAAAGGCAATTAAATGAAGATAACAGAAATTAGCTCTTGGTGCTCCAGGAATTTCAGTAGAGTAAAGAAGTGAGTAAGTGGAGAGGAAGTGAAGGTAATGAGTGTAGAAGATTAACTCTAGATGTTCAGCTGTGAACGAGGAGTGAAATATTCATTGAAACACATCAGGAACCAAAGAGGCCATCTGCTACAATCTATACATGAACAAGAGTCCACCTGATAAATTCACAAGACTTTGCTTGAAGTCATCTAGTGAAGGGGGAACTCTCCATCTCCTAAGGTAGCTAATTTATGCTTTTGGATACCTCTGATTGTTGATGTTTCATACATCAAACCTAAATCTTCTTTCTCTGCAGCTTCCTTCACAGCTCCTAGTTCTTGTTCCATGGCCAAGCAAAACAAATCAAATGTCTCTTGCAAATCGCAACCTTTTGGATACTTAAAAATAACTATCATTTCCCCTCAAGTCTTTCTACTTCAGGCTAAATATCCCCAGTTTTCAATCAATCTTCATATATCATTGTCTCCAGTATCCTCAATATCCTGGGCATTCTACAGTTTATCAATGTTCTTCCTAACATGAAGTGCCCAGAAAATAGATCTTATGACGCATTATCATTGAGCTTTATGTTATCCTTTCTGTTCATTGCGTGTGCTCTTAACTTCAGTACAGTAAAGCTTTGAAGACCTGAAACTATTGGATAGTTTACTCAGCCAGTATCAATTTCAAGTTGTGCCATTCATAATTTTACCTTTGTCTTCTTGTAAAAGCCTTGAGTCCTGACCCTTGTAATGAGGTTTAAGTCATTATGAGTTTCAGACACTCATTTTCTGAATGCAACTTGGTTGGTGTCAGTATGTGCCAGGTGCAGTGCTAGACAGTGGAGATAAAAATACATAAATGAGACATTCCTTGACCACGGGGAGTTTATATTTTACTTAGACCAAAGAGAGAGGAACATGATACATTCATAGAAAAAGTAAGTACAGAATATATAAAAAATAAATCAAAATAACTTTTGGAGAGATCTTTGAGTTCTAATGGATGTGGAGGTAATGGGAGATAACAGCACAGGGGTACAGGGTTGCCATGACAACTCGTGCAGAGGCACTGAGGTAGAAGGTAAAATATACTGTGCAACCAGCAGCAAGAAGGCATGTACATGAAGAAGAGTAATCTGTAATCAAACTGGAAAAATACCCTAGGGCCAGATTGTAGATGGCTTTAAATGCTTTTTTGAAAAAAAGGCATTTGTATTTTACCTCCGTTCGCGAAGAGGAGCCATGGAACAGTGTATCAGACTCAGATAGAAAACAAGGTCACCTGTACATAAGGATCCCTGTGGACTTAGAAACCCACATATTAATGTTGTCTGTATTTTATTGTATTTTTTAATTTATTTTGCGAAATATTTCCCAATTACATTTTAATCTGGTTTCAACTGCATGCACTCAGGAATGCTATGGATGCATGCAGCCCTCATCAGTGTATTTGACACTTTTACCATGGAAGCTTCTTGAGCAGAAGAGGAGAGTGACTTGGTAAGGCCTATACTTTAGATCAGTTTTGCAGCTGGATGGAAGCTGGATTAGGAGAAGGGGCAGATTGGATACAGGGAGACCAAGTAAGAGGCTCCTGCAATAATCCAGGAAAGGGAGTAATGGAAGGGCCTGATCTAGGGTGGTTGTATGAATAGAGAGAAGGGGACTGACAGCAGAGATAATGATGAGGGAGAATCAGCAAACCTTGGTAACTAATTGAATTATGGGGGTGAGGATAAGTGAGTGAAGAATTGAGAGAACTAGATTGCAAACCTGGGTGACTACAAGAATAGTGAAGTTCTTGACAGAAATAGAGAAAAAGTTAACGGAATAGGTGAGGTCAGGAGAAGGAAGACAGTGAGTTATGTTTTAAATCTGTTGAGGTTGGAATTCCTGTAGGATTACCAGGTAGAGAAGTTTAGTAGACAGTTGGAGATGTGGGAGTGGAGCTCAAGGAGAGAAATAAGACCTGGTTATGTAGATTTTGGAGCAGTCTGTATAGAGATGATAGTTGAATAGAGAAAAGAAAGAAAGTTCACACCAGAATCTTGGATTTATACCTAGGCATGATGTGTCATATTATGTAGGACATATGCGATGATCTTTACGAAGCAGATCTATTAAGCGGTTAGGGAGAAAACCGAGAGAGGTGGTCTCTAAAGCCCTGAGAGAAGATAATGTTATTCAGAAGAAGAGGGTGGTCAGCAGGGTCAGATCTGCAGAGAGATGATTAAGGATGAGGACTGAGAAAATGCCATTGGATTAAAGAATAAAGACATCATTGGTGACCTTGGAGAATGCAATTTTTCTTAGTGGTGGGGAAAGAAATCATTATAAACTAACATTTATTCTACATGTCAACACAACTTCAAATTTTCAGCATAAATATCTAAACAGTTGCTTTAGGTCTATCTCTTCTTTGAGATAATTGAAACTTTTTAGTTTGAGGTTTATTAGGAAAGATGTCTTAAGTGTATGTTTTGCTTTATTGCTTTACTACCAGAATTATAAAAGTAGCTTGTCTTGTAGTTTATCAAGTAAATTTAGTTGTCATTTTGTCATGAAATATTTTTATTTTCTAGGAGTTCAATTCAACAAAGATTTATTAAATGCCTACTCTAAAACTTCCTAGAAATGTATTCCAAATTGATTAAAACTCTTAAGGAAAAATAAAAATAAAACTCGAGATCAATATTATGTTTGTTCAGGACAGATTTTTAATGTCACAAGTAATCAGGTTTATTTTCAATTCAGAGATTTTGATTACTTACATATGAAACAAGCATACATTTTGCTAAAAATATCCTTGATTATAATTAATTTCTTTTTTTTTTAAAGGCCAAATCGAGTAATGCGCCTTCGCTTCAGTCATTTTGCTACAGAATGTAGTTGGGACCATTTATATGTTTATGATGGGGGATTCCATTTATGCCCCACTAGTGGCTGCCTTCAGGTAAGTTCAAATTAAAGAGTAATATTTGTTATTTGCTTTCTGAGTTCTAACATCACTTGTTTTTATTCTTGAAGCACTGGCTTTATTCTAACCAGAAATTGACTGATCTGTTAATATGATGTGACCCAGAAGAAAGAGCACTGGTCTGGGTTAGTTAAAAAGACTTTTGTTTTTACTCCTGGCGCTGTCACCTACAAGCTATGTAACACTGGCCAAGTCACTTAGCTTTTCATCATCAGGTCTTTTGGGTATAGAGTGGAGATACCTACTCTGCCTTCCTCATAGGTGTGCATATGATTTTCTTTATGGTGTTGGCTACCAGGAGCAAAGAATGTATATGAAGGAGTTTTGAAGATTATGAAATTTCAAATGCTATATAAATGCAAGGTGATTTTATTCTTAAGTAATTTTGTATTTGAGGTTTCCCAAACATAAGTACCTGTTTAGGTGAACTTTCACCTTATTCATTGGCCTGGTCTCAAAACCATGCATTCTTTTCTCTGGCTGCCATCCTTATTTCCTTCCAACTGGAATTTTAGTCCCCTAGCTCTGATAGGTGAGCTTTCTTGTACTCTGATATGGGCATCTTATTTTTACTAAGTGTCTGACTATGGGCATTTCACTTAACCTTCTGAGTCTCAGTTTCCACATCTGTAAAATGGAAATGGTAATATTTGTAGTACTTCATAAAGTTGTTACAAGGGTGAAATGAGATAATGTATATAAAATGGTTTGAAAATAAGAAGTACATTAATGTCAGCTATTGTTATTAGCTTAGTATGGTCTTATTTATGACACTCCCTCCTTTAGGGCCCCATGTTCCTACTATTTAGGAAAAGGTTGGATTTGATGACCACTAACTAAAGTCCTTTCATCTTTATCATCCTAAGATTCTATTAGTACGTGATAAAGTACAGTACAAGATTTATGTAAACAGTTCAAGGACAGTAGTGGAATAGAGTTTATAAGCAAGTAAGACTTCTTTATCAAAACTTTGTATTTTTTCCAAAGCATGCAGGTCCTTTAAGAATGAATGTTAAATGGATGCGTGGATAAATTCATGATTAATTGCTAAATTAATGTTATAGATTAAGTTCTATAGGAATTTGGTGAGAGGAGGGAGAGATAAATTTGCTGGAATGCTCATAGATTGCTTCAAGGAGTGGGAAAGATTTGAAGAATGGGTATGGTTTTTGAGAGGCAGAGAGGAAAAGGGGAAATGGTTGATTCAAAGTGTAGATACAAGAAGAGGTGTGATTTTGAAAGATGACCAATTTGGCTAGAGCAGGAGCTTTGTGTTAAATGCTTGTTGCATTCCATATAGGAATAGTGGGAGATATGATTGGAAATGTTAGTTGTGAGTGATTTTCATATCCAAAGTAAGGAATTTTAAATTTATCCTATAATGAGTGAAGAGCCATTTAAAGTTTTTGAGCAGCGGAGTGATACAATCAAAGTTATCTTTTAGAAAAAAAATAATGTGGTTCATAGTTCTGCCATCTGGGTAACTCCCTAATATCATAGTCTCCATTGTGTTGATAGAGGAAGCAGAAATGTCATTAAAGAGAACAAAGATGAGAAAGGCAGCCATTGGAATGATAGTAAATGGAGATGGTAGAACAAGTGAGAGTTTTTTAAGGATGGGAGGTGTCCATGGGTTTGTCTTGACAGGAGCAGCAGAAGGAACAAATAGATAGCGTGTGATGGAAGATAAGAGACAATGTGAAAATAATAGTAGGCTAAGTCTGGTAGAAAAGATGGAAAGGGTTGGAATCAAAAGTACATGGTCATGTACAAGGATTGGCCTTGGCAAGTAGAAAGGCCACCATTTGAGGTAGAGTAGAGGAGGAGATAAATGGGGGATATCTGAGTGCTGTGAAATGAGGAGGAGGAGAGAAGAAGGAGCTCTCTGGTGAATGGCCTCATGCTTCATTGAAGTATGAGATGAGGTAAAGATGATATACAGAGATGGTAGCAGCTGGTGATGTCTTAGGCTTGAGAGAAATAAAATTTTGGAATAGCCAATGTAGAGAGTAGGGTAGGGAACTAATTAGCTAGGAGTAGTAGAATGGGTAGCTTTGCTACAGTGAGGGCTCACTTAAGATTAGACAAAAAAATTGTAGTGGACCAGATCAGCACAGTTTTCAGATTTCCTTTAGCTTTGTTTAATATCCTGTATAAAGAAATGAAGGAAGCAGATAGAAATAATTCAGGGTTGGGGGCTGACAATGTGTGATTAGTAAGGAAAATGGGCCAGGGATTTAAAACTAAATAGCAGTGTAGAGCAGAGATGCCATACTCCTTGCTAAATTAGGAAATGTTTAACAAAAGAAGTTAAAATACCATTTGACATCAATTATATTAATTTGTGTTTTTCTGAATCAATATGTTGCTTCAGGTTTCTATTTGAGATTGACACCACTGGTGCAGGGTTAAATTGGTCCACCAAAGAGCAGAGATAGGGAAGGGAAGAGTATAGCCAGTACAAGAGTAGGAAGGGATAGAGGGAGTGTAGGTCATGGTGAGGATAAAGAACAGGATTAGGGCTTGTGAGGCATAGGGAAAGATAAGATGATAAAAAACTGATCAGATAAAATAATTTTTGTGTAGATAAATATGGAAGTGGAACACTTGTGGGTGAGGGCAAGATCAAGGGCCCTGTTGCCTTTTGTCCATTAGTGCTAGAAACAGTCATGACTCAAGAAGTAGTATTGAATAAAGAAGGGGGAAAATGCAAGCCAAAGTAAATTGGGGATTACCTGAACCAGTGAATCATGAAGCCATACATGGGATTGCATTTGATGAGGAAACTACAGTAATTACATATGTTGCATATATAATCAACTCTGGGCGAGTTGTCTAACACCCTCCTAGTATACCTTCTTTCATCAGCAATCTCAAGATAGCATTTTACCAAGCTCCAGGTATAGTGAAAATATTTGGCATAGCTGCTATATGAGGTGTGAATTTGTAGTAGAGAAGGTATATTATGGTCTTGGACTTGGATAGCTATGTAGGTTTTGCGGTTGGGAACTTTAAAACCAGAAGAATTGTTTTACCTGCCAAGTTTAAGGGAAGGAAAAAAATGGCCATAAACCTTTAGCTTTTAAAACTGGAACCCCTCATCTCCCATTCCCCAAACCAACAAATGATTTCAAGGAAAAATAATAACTGGGTTCTGATGTTGACTCTTAACTATTCTTTAGAGGAGGTAGATCAGGGCCATCAACAGGGTCATCAGAGATAAAGACTGTAGTTGACTGTGGGAACGTCATGAACCTATTTCAGTCTGTTTGAGAGTCAGATGATAAGAATGTTAATTTTAATAATGGGCAATCAACTCTGATAGGTTAACAATGAGAAGAATGAATATTATAGTGGGAGGTGGACCTGTTCAAATGAGGGGCTGGGGGAATTTGACTTTGATTATGTCATTTACTTCCAGACCACCCTCAGCCTTAGGCATCCAGACAAAGGATTTACTACCACTCAATCCTGAGTAGAACACTTGGGCTGGGAATTCACCTTAGATTAAATTCTTTATAAGGTTCTCTAGTTGGTGGGGCAACAACTCCACCTAGATAAGATGGTTTAGGTGTCCTTGAGCAAGAACAGAGATTTCCTTAAAAAGGAAGTAGCCCTAGATCTCCCCAGTAATTGGTTATTTAATAATTATTTCTCTCATCAGGACAGGTCTTTTCATCAGGAATGCTTGAAAGTCCTTTATTTCATTAAATATCCTTTTCCCTCTCAAGAATTATACTCAGTTTTGCTGGGTAAGTTATTCTTGGTTGTAATCTTAGCTCCTTTGCTTTTTGGCATATTTTATTCCAAGCTCTCTGATCCTGTAATGGGAGAGCTGCTAAATCTTGTGTGATCCTAAATGTGATTTGATGATATTTAAATTGTTTCTTTATGGCTGCTTACAATATTTTCTGCTGACCTGGGAGCTCTGGAATTTGGCTATAATATTCCTAAGAGTTTTCATTTTGGGATCTCTTTCAGGAGGTCATCAGTGGATTCTTTTATTCCTATTTTACCCTCTGGCTCTAGGATATTGGGGCATTTTTCCTTGATAATTTCTTCAAAGATGATGTGTAGGCTTTTTTTTTTTTGATCACAGCTTTCAAGTAGTCCAAAAATTCTTATCTCTCCTGGATCTGTTTTCCAGGTTAGTTGTTTTTCCAATGAGATATTTTGTGTTTTCTTGTATTTTTTTCATTCTTTGATTTTGTTTTATTGTTACTTGATGTCTCATTGAATCATTAGCTTTAAGTTGCCCAATTCTAATTTTTTAAGGAGTTATTTTCTTCAGTGATCTTTTGTATCTCCTTTTCCATTTGGCCAATTCTGTTTTTTAAGGAGTTCTTTTTTTTGGTAGATTTTTGTGCCTCTTTTACCATTTGGCTAATTCTATTTTTTAAAGTGTTATTTTCTTCACTATTTTTTTGTGCCTCTTTTACTAAGTTACTGATTTCCTTTTCATAATTTTCTTGCATCTCTCATTTTTTCCCCCCAGTTTTTCCTCTGCCTCTCTTATCTGATATTTAAAATCCTTTTTGAGTTCTTCTAGGAATGTTCAGTTCACATTTTTTCTTTGAGCTGTTTTGACAGAGGTATCTTCTGAGTTTGTGTCTTGATCTTCCCTGTCACCATTGGTGGTCAGATTCATTTTATTTCATTTTTGTTTTGTCGTTGTTGTTGTTTGCTCATTGTCCCAGCCTATTTCTTGAATTTTTAACTTCATGTTACATTTGGGCCCTGCTCCTGGTGTGGAAGGGGCACTGTCATAAGCTTCAGGTTTTCTTATGCTGCTCTTTTCAGAGCTAGTTCTGGGAGTCTGTAGGTTTTCATTGCTTCTAAGGTGGTGTGATATATAGACTCTCTCCTGGCCTGCGCTCTGGTCTTTACCCAGGAAGGGACCTTGTTCCCCTGGAGCCACAAGTGCTAAGACTCCTCTTGGCCCTAGAACTGTGACCAGGTCTCCTGTTCTCTTGCAC